CTTCAGTTCATCTCTCCCTGAATCGTACGTCTGGCATACCTTCCAGTAGGATCCAGTACATTCCAGCACATTCCAGCACTTGGCTGTCATGCCTTCTGTTCAGTGAGCACAGCGGTGACCACAGACAGGGATTCACATAATTGTATAGTCGTTGTATCTCAACATCCTTATCTACAAAATGGGAAGGACTGCATTATTTGTGAGGATGAATTGCTATTACGTTTCTAAAGCATCACAGCATCTGGCATGTCCTAGTTGCTCTATGAATTCCAGCGAGTAGAGTGAGGGTCTTTTTTTTTTTTTTTTTTTAAGAAAACTTCTTTCTCCATTTTATGTCATGGCTGGGATGAGAGACAAGGAGTAGCACTGATACTGAGCTGAGGTGGAGGAAGAGGCAGACATAGCATAAGAGTTCTCAGGAGGTGTCCTAAGAAGAGCGCTTAGAAGGATCTCAGTATCTTGTAGATATTTGACGCATCATTGGAAAGCCTCCCTTCTCTTCATCTGGAGACCAGTGGAACTGATAGATGAGGAAAACTCCAGAAGAGCCCAAAGGGAAGAAAGTAGGAGCTGAAGGAGACTGGGGGACCATGGGATGTAGAGTAGAGTAGAGGGGAATCCTACAACTGTGAGCCTGGTAGTCCAAGAATGAGTCAGCAGGTTGGGGAAGGTTTGTGGAATGCACAAGAGTGGAAGAGCTGCCCCAAACTTGACCTTTTTGTGAAATCTTCCTTGACCTGGATAAGCCTTCAACAACAAATGCCTTGTTGCAGGGACGGCAAATAAAAACCACTCATTTACATTGCACTCTAAAGATAAATTCAGCACTCAGACAGTAGTTACCTTTGCCTTACAAATGTTGCCCTGTGGTACACTGAGCGCTGGCTGATGACTTTGATGTGTCCAGATTTAATTATTATGCAACCCATTAGCCCAAAGGCAGAGGATATTTAGTAAAAATGTCACCCTTGTATACAATTCATTCTGTGAAATCCATTGCTCAGAAAGGAATCCTATTTAGAAATGATTCAGAATAGGAAACCTTTATAGTTATGGAGCTCTGAATTTTTGTCCTTGGAACTGGACAGCTAAAAGCTGGGCAGAATATTTTTGGTATGTGTAAGCTTTTTCCACATAGGACAAGAAAGCCTTTACTTCATGGCTTTTGTGGAGAAAATGTTCAGTTCACTGCTCTCCTGTTTGAATCATTATGACCAAGTGGGAGAGAATGAGGATCTGTTCCAGTGGGAAATATTTAAATTAGGAGGGATTAAAAAATATCTACAATTATTTTGTATCATCTCCAAGGGAACCCACAGCCTCCTACAAAGGCTTTAATAATATCTTAGGAAATTTCCATCTGGAATAGAAAAGACAATGGAATCCAAATATGGGTGGCCCAGTGCACACATACGGTGCTGTTAGGAGCCAAACTTCTAACTTTTTTCTGCTTTGTGAAAGTTCTAGTAGATCTTGACATTCATTTTTTTGGGAGACAATCCTGGGACCTTCAATATGTTACTGAGCTGAAATGTAGGTCCAATGTTATGTCAGCTCACAATTCAGAATAAAACTTGCAACTTTTAAATTTTTCCTAAATATTTACACATTACCCAGGGAGCAGTGCCAGAAGCTGCAGGTCAGAGATTGGGTCTTGTTTTGGAACCTGGGGGTCCCAGGTGGGCCTAAACTTCTGGAGGCATCTCATATCTGCTAGTGATCCAGTTGGGATCCTTGTCAGTGTGTAGAATGTACCTGGATCCTAGAGCAATGATGCTCAGTCCATCAAGAAATTGGTGGAGAAGGAACCTGGCCCACCAGCTTTGGTACCTGGGAGACATTCCAATGTATATTGGTGGTGCTCTGGGTAGAACTGAAGAGAGGCTGCATCTTTCCTTATCCATCTGGGAATGGTCCATCTAGGAGAAGGGTCCTTCTTGGATGAAAGTTGGGAAAGCAGAGAGCAAGGCCCAAGTACCTGTAATCTAGGAGGTGGAGTGTTTGATGGTTGGGTTCTGAAGTGGAGAAGTAGTATTTTCATACAGGCAACCCTCAGGAATCCTCCATGCTTTTGGCTGACACATGAAATAAGGTGGATTTGAACAAAGTGGACCCTGTCCATGTGGCCAGATGCTGCCTGCTGCCTGCCTATGCATACTTTTCTCAGTTTTCTGTGGCTGTGGTGGAGAACTAGGGACACTCATCTTTTGAGCAGGCTCAAAGAGTTGGTTTAGGTAGAGTGTGTGGTTGGAGGCCTTTTGCTTTCTCCAGATTCCAAAGCTCCCTCTCTTCCCATGAAAGCTTGGTACACGGATAATGGAATACAGCCCTGGTTAAGAGAAGTGCATACTGTTTCAGCAGAGGATACCACATGGGAAATAGCATCTAGGAGGAGATCACCTCTAGGTGTGAAAGGACTGGGTCTCTTGGAGATACAAGGACAGATAGATTCTCTTCTCTCCCTTCCCCATGTTTTCCTGACAACCCTGATTGTTTATTCTTTACCGGTAAAGGAAGCATGTGGGACAGAACAACTAATACCGCATTGCAGCCTGAGGTGAATGTAAGGGACACTGGGGAGGGTGCTGAGGACTGAGGGACTGAGGGACTAAAGGGACTGAGGGACTCTGGAAGGGGAGATCTATCCCTATGTAAGACAGGTGGCCACAAGGGGACGTCTCGTGAGCCAATGTCAAAGCAACCATGTATGTCAACAAGTTCAGAAGAATAAATCCAAGAAAGGGAAGAAGGTACCCTGAGCCCATTGACCTACCTCCCATTTGCATATTCCCCAGTCATTTATGCTTTGGAAGAGATGACCTGCGTATGTAACAAAGGCTCTATGTGTGGTCCCCACAGAGTACAATTCCTTTCTTTCATTATGAAAAGCATTATACCAATGAGCACTATACTGTTGGTTTTGTCAAGTCCTTGACAAGCACTCTTAGCCTCAAATTTACCCTCAACCAGACAGATTTTATAGGGAGGCTGAAGTTCTGAGTTCTTCTAGGTTCTGGTCACTGCATGGGAAGCTCACCAATTGTTCAGGAACATGATTTCTTTTTCCTTTCCTTTTCTTTTTTTTTAATCTCATGCCTTATTTTCCCTTCAAATCCTGGCTCTTGCTCTTACCTCACTTTTGGCCTCACTTTTAAGTTTTTGTATTTAAAGCTAACTCACTCTAAGCTCTTTTCTACATAGTAAACATGCATATACCACATCTTGCAAAAAGAGCTTCTGACTCACATATTTTGATTTCTCTAATTTTTTCTGAAGCTCAAGGGTGAGGAAAAGGGATCCCAGAGCACTGAATATTTCTTCCTGCTTGGAGGTGGACTCTGACCCCCAGCAGGCACAGCGGGACTTCTCCAGTTCTCTCTCGGCTCTGGCCACTGTCAGAGTTCCTCTTACCACAAATTCAAGGAATTGTGTGTTGTTGGAAATCCTTCTGGCCAGTTTGGTCATCCTCATATTCACCATCACAGGGTTTTGAAAGGCAATGACAAAATGAATAGCTTTCAAATCACATGGTTTAATGGTTAGAACTTTATTTAAGATAAAGAGCACAGTTCTTAGGACTAGAAGCCAATGGTGAGTCAATACAAGATTATAGTTAGCACATTAGTGACATACTGCCGTGCAGTAATATGACCACAAACTTAATACTCAAAACAATAAATATACACATTATTTCATAATTTCTGTGTCAGGCGTCTGGCATGGCTCAGCCAGGTCCTATGGCCCTCTGCTTATAAGTCTGATAAAAATGTTAGCTGGGACTGCAGAATGTGAGAATTGATTGGGTCAGGATTCAGTTTCAGGTGCATGGGGATGTACTAGAACTCAGTTCATTGTGACATACTGGATTGAGGGCTTCAGTTTCTTGCTGGCTATTGGCAGAGGCTCCCTTGAGTTCCTTGCCACACAGACCTCTCTAACACAGGCACTTGATTTTTGAAAAGAAACAAGGAAAAGAATTTCCTTGCAAGATAGGAGCACTGGGTGTGGTGCAAAAATAATGAATACTGTTACGCTGAAAAAATAAAAAATTAAAAAAAAAAGATAGACATTACAATCTTGTGTAATGTAATCATACACATGCCACCATCTTTATCACATTACATTGGTTAGAAGCAAATCAGAGTTTCCACCCAGATGCAAGAGGAGGAGATCATACGAGGCGTTGGATACCAGGAGGACGGTGTGATTATCAAGTACATCATGGAGACCAAGCTAGAGTCTGTCTGCTACTTAACAACACCTACAGACAAATAATACTCATGGCCAGAATTAGAAGTAAATGTAGTGATCCTTGCACACTTATGCTTTGCTAAAGCAGTGGGGGAAAAAGGTGGAATGGTCGTATCACCTGATCCCCATCCAGTCAGGAATGGCCAACCTCCAATCCTGTGACTGTCTCCCTCTTTCCTCTGACAGTTACAGTCTTAAGTTGCACAAGAGATGGTATCTTCTGGGATCTGCAGGTACTTCTAGGATGGGCAACACTGACTATAGAATCATCTGACTTTTCCATTCTTTTTTTTTTTTTGATATTCAAATAACTCAATTTTAATAAGATCCTCTACACACACACTTCCTACTGAAAACTGAAAGAGCACAACAAAAAAAATTTTATTACAATGTCAGAAAACCAGAAAATCTAGTGTATGTACCCACCCTAATTTTGCTCTAACCAAACCACCCAGAGTTTTCTTGTATTCCTTCTGCACAAGTTACTTGGCTTCCAATTTTTAATATTAGATCTTATCTTAGTGACTTCAGGTCTCTCAAACACACAGGCAACTTTCAAAACCTATTAGTGCTTCCTTAGGTCAAATCAAAAGGTGCAAGTATACTGAAGTCATCCAAATGCAAACTACAGGATTCCTCACAAATTACTGGCATCACAGTAAAAAAAAAAAAAAAAATTAAAATAACCCCTTATAATATCACAGATTATCAAAATATTAGTTTGCCCTAACATAGAGCAGCCTTCCAAGCTCCTGCAAAATGATCCTAAAATCACTGGCAGAAAGAAATAGTTCAAGAATAAAAGTCTGTTTACATTGGCTCCACGTCATAATTATTCTCCATGCTGGTTTCCTCAGCAAGATCTTTGTGATACAGGCAATAATGACAGCGACATCTGAATCTTTCCACTCTTGTTTCACCCTCCTCCGTTTCCTTCTGCTGTAGATCTTTTTGAAGCTGAGACCCCAGGTTTAGGTAGCGCTGGTACAGAATCATTGGAATCATCCTTGCCATCCTTTCCTTCCGGGCTGTTAACAAGGTCCTCACTCCAGTCCTCCTCCCACTGCTGCTGAGGATACGCTCCACCAGCCCCTGTGGTTTCCTCTCTCTGCCTGGCTGCTGAGACGGATACTCTGGCAGAGGGGAAGGGAGGCTGATACTAGAGTCTAGGGTCAATTTACCAAGGTTCTTGGTTAATACTTCGGAGATCATTTGAGAGGCACCTGAGCTTTCCTGGGAATCCTCTTCATTGGGTGTCTGAGATGATCCCAGAGCCCAGGTTGGGTAAAGCTGCTCTGGCGAATCCATTGGAAGCCTAGTGAGAGACCGAGGCTCCTCCTAGATATTTGGGGTCCGGTGGGAGGTGATGCTCAGGACCCAACTTGCTACAAAGTTGCCTGGCAAGAACTTAACAGCTCAGAAACAGGGAGAAAATCCCAAACTTCACCAAATGGCTGAGCTGCAAGAGAAAAATCAATCCTGACTTTTCCATTCTTTCCTGGCCGGTAGATGCAGAGTCCAGTTGGTAGCTTGTCAAAGGCATACACTTCTTATCTTTAAAGGACTAGCATGCTATATGTGCATGTCCTGATAGAATATAGGTATGTTAGAGGTGGATGGGTTTCTTTGAAGTTTCCCTCTCTGTCCTGTACATTCCTTATTTATTACAAGGGGCTCTCCTATTGTCATCTGTTTTCTTTTGCTGCCTGGTGAGCCTCTGCAGAAGTATTTCCTGCTCAAGTTCTCTCTTGGCCTCACTTTAAAATTTTTGTATTTAAAGCTAACTTACTCTAAGCTCTTTTCTACACAGTAAACATGCATACACCACATCTTGCAAATACAGTTTGTCCTTCTGACGCAAATCCCAGGATTGCATTTTGGACTACATGCCGGATGTCTCTGCTTGGCTATTTTGGGTTGGATTTCTCCAGTGGCAGATTCTAAGACAAGGATTTGAGCATAACTAGTTTATTTGGGAGGTGATTCCAGGAAACCACCACAGGGAGTGGGGAGGGGAGATAGGAAAGGAAAGGAAGGTATTAAAGAGCACTCTGTCGCAGGTTACTGCTGTGTGTGGCTGGGGTTTAGCTCCGTTGGGTGATATGGTAGAACTGGCTTCCAGAGTTGTTGCCCTCAGTCCCACTACCAGGGTGAAGGAACTGGGATTTTTCAGTCACTGGTTGAGGACTGCCTCTGGGGTGCATTAAGTCTTTGGCATTTTGGGCCTGCTGCCTTGTGGTCCAAATGGGCTATAATGTGCAGAGATTACCTCTGGGAGAGAGTGGCTGCTGCTTGACGTTGAAAGCCATTGGCTGGGGAACGCCTATCACAACTGCTTAACTGATCTCAATGTGGTCATCCTCATTACCTCATTTCTTTTTGTGTTGACATAATTCCTCCTCTTATTACCTCTGTCTGTCAGACATCACCACTCCGCAGCCACTTAGACTTGAATTTACTGCGTTATCCCCATCATTCCAGTGAGGAAGCTGAGGCCTGGAATGTTCTCATGATTTGCCCATTGTCACATGGCTGCTTAGTGACAGACCTTTCCACCACTGTCCATAGCAGGGTGTCCCAGGGATGAAAAGAGGCCGAGGCTACGTGGCTTGCACAAAGTCACTGACCTGATCTAAGGCAATAGGGGTCACATTCCAGTAGATTTCTCTCTGGGCTTTTTGTTTCTAAACTTCCTGTTTAGTTACACCAGCTAGTTGTAGTACTAGTTTGCTGTAGTGACGTAGATGGTTTAATTATTCTCCTGCCACCAATTCTAATTAGTTCTAAAACTTATACAAAGTACATACACTCTCTACAGCTTATTTTTCTCATTCAGTGAATTTGGGGGGAATCCCTTGAACCCTAATAGTGTGAGACAAGAGATTTGATTTTTTTTTTTTTTTGTAAAGATTTGTTCTTTGGGCCAGGTATGAAGGAAAAACTCCACCTTATTTATGTTTAATATAGAGCATGGTTTGGGTAGCCTTTGTATGTCAAGCAGAAAATATGGTAGACCCTCTCAAAATATCCACAGGCATGTCCTTTGTCTTCTTGTGTGAAGACTTTAAAGTGTCACGGGAATAGCTACTGATGTGGCTAACTAGGGCCAAGAGCGGTAAAGACTGTGAAACATAATGTACTGGAGATAGCATCTCTGGGAGGAACACACAACTGCATTCTTCTGTTCTTGCGTGAGTCCCTGCAGGTTGTCAGCAATCTGAGGGCAACATCTTTTCTTAGGGCAAGCTAAGATATTCACTGTTTCCCCAGAGTGGGTATCAAATTATCTGGAGTGTAAGGAATACACAATGGCAGAGATTTTATTTCTAATGAGCAGAGACTGGAAACACATTTGGAAGTCTACCATGATGTTTCTTTTCCTACCTCAATCTAGTGATCTCATTGGGTTGAATTCTCTGTGGTTTGGCACTAAAGTCTTTTCATTCCCATCTTCATCTTTCCAATTTGCTGCCCCATTTTATGGTCTACATCTCTCCTTCTAAGTTCTTGCTCCTTTTCATCATCTTGATTTCTCATCTTGTATTCAACCTGTTGCAAGCCCCCTCCAGTCTTTTTCTCCACTTAGTTTTATAAAACTGAGTAGTACGTGTGGCAGCTAGGGGTTTGGAATGAAGAGAGACTGACAAACCTCTCCAAGCCACACTAAGTGGTTTTCCTTTAAGGCTTCTATGCTTTCCTAAATATCTGATAATAAATGGAAGAAAATCTTTGTAGAGCAGTTAGGGAAACTGAGGCGCCAATGATACAATGGACTCAGTTGGGGGTTTATGACATTGGTGACCAAAAGAACAAACTTCAAGTCATTTGATTTTTATTGTCATCTTTGATCCTCTAAGGTGACTCTTCCCTCTAGAGCAGAGGTCAGCAGGTTACAACACATGGGCCAATTTCTGCTCACCACTCGTTTTTGCGATTAAAGTTTTATCAGCATACAGATACACCCATTGGTTTACATATCAACTATGCCGGCATTCCTGTTAGAGCAGCCATGGTCACTGCAACAGAGATCTTCTGAGCTGCAAAGCCTAAAATATTTACTTTTTGGTCCTTTGTAGAAAAGGTTGGCTGACACCAGAAGGTGACAATAGCTTTGAATTTTTTGGGCTTGATATTTCTCATAATTGACTCAAGAAATATGGTCCAAAGTCTAACTGAAGCTTCAGAGACCTTAAAAAAATTCATCTATTGGCAACTGTTTTCCATTATTGTATCAGTCAGGGTTCTCCAGAGGAACAGAAGCCATAGATGTAGCATCTTCTTCTTAGTCCAGACAGGAGCAGTAAGATAACTTGGACCATTGCAGGATTGGGAGATCTTCTAGACTCTGTGATGGTTTGTGTTCCAAGGAACCAAGTCCAGAAGCAAGGCTGTCATTGTGATCCCAGAAGTGATGACACATCAGTCCTCACCTAGTCTGAGTGAAGGACGTAGATCCCAGGCAGGGTCAGCTCCATAATTCATAAACCTCATGTAGATGAACCTGCTGGCCATTGTTTAAACAACAAACAAAAAACACACACAAAAAACAACAAACCTGTGAAGAATTTCAAGATGGCAAAAACAGAGTTAAAACAAGCGCAGGGCCCATGACACAGGGCCCAGGGCAAATGCCCAGGCTGCATGCCCAGGAGGCCAGCCCTGAGCCTCGGACTTTGGAGCTCAAAGAGACATCAGAGGCCACCTATTCATAGTTTATGACAGTTGCATGTTGAAAACTGGCCACGCCACACTTCTCTGCTGATGACCTGGAGTGGGAGTACAGCCCACTTTGGCAGCTGAGGAGAGGGGCCCCACCAGGAGCGCATGCTTCTCAGTCTTGGCCTGAGTTGCTGGATTGTGCACTTTTTGGATCTGAAGAGCATATCTGGTTCCACAGCTGCATGGCTCCAACCTCCTCACCAGCTCTCCCAGTACCTGGCTGTTATTTTTAGGTGACCGATGGTGGAGAGGTTTGACTTGTAATTTTCATGCCTGAGGCTTGAGTTTCACAGGAAATGTTTCAGAAAATTTAATACAATGCAACACATACACGTTAACAAGGGCAGATTGGTTGTGTTCTTGTTGCCTGACCATTAGGAATTTCTATTCTTAGTCTTTTTCTCTTTTCACTGCTCCTTCCTGACTCCCTTCCTCTACCTCCAGAGTTCCTCATTGTGCCAGTTCCTGAGCTCTTCACTGTCACACAGATTTCCTTTCCCTCCCCTGCTGCCAACTCCACTGGTTCTCCACAATGAATGGAGTCGTGTGGTTGCCAACTTCCTCCCAATCTTTTCCGGACTCCTTTCTCTTTTATTCTTTGCTCTGATCAGATTCTCCTCTTACTTTCCAGACCTTGAATCTAAGGACTGACTTCCTCCCTCTGTCCCCTTGAACTGATTACACCATGCAGCTCAGACTTAACCTTGGCTCCTGCCTTCCCTGCCTTGGTGGTTTTCCCAACCTTCTGTTCAGTCTTCCATCTTCATTAGATCTGCTCAAGTGCCAGGAAATAAGGGACTGGCCAGTCTGAATGCCTTAGCTCCTTCATTTTTGTCTGAGTGGTATTCACCCTCCAATCCTTTAGGATCTCATTTAGTTTGTATGTCAAACCCTTCCATACTTCTTGAGGGGAGACTCATCTGCTCTACACCCCCTGCCTCAGGTTAAAAAGAGAAACTGAGCTCATGGTATTTGCACGATCTGTCTGCATTGGGAGGTCCAGTGAGGAAGAATGGAAGTTAAACCATGTAGTGGTGTAGACACAATGTGGTACTATTATTGAGGTCAACTTGGTCATGGTATTAGGTGGCTTCAGGGTGGGCAGATGCACAACTCATAGAGAATGCACCATTGAACAAGCTGTCCTTTGCTCAGAACAACAATGTATATTTATAGTCATTGACAATGCATCAAATGCCTGAATTTGTTTCGCATCCTCTTGAGTTATGAACACTCGTGAGAACTGTGCCGGTGATCAGAAGCCACTTGACCATAGTTGCTACAATTCAGCTCTCAGAAATGTGGGAATTGGGCTTAAACATTTAGTTTGATATTTGGTTCTATATACCTTTTGTGCTAGACTATATCCTTTATTTTCTTTCTATCCTTTTCTCTCTCTCTCATCCAATTCATTAATAGACAGACCAATTATTTCTTCATAAAGAAAGAATATGTTCTTTTTTCAGGCTTATTAACTATCTTCCAGCCATGATTTTCATCACCTCCTAGGTATATGGACAGTGGGTAGTGAGTAACTGATTATTGAATGACTATGTAATAGCCACCTGACTGGCCCTATCTAGTAGTGTCAGAACTTGGCAAGCCATTTTCTTCATAAGTACTAGATAATTCTTCATTAATTTACAGGTAATATTAAAGGTAGTTCCTG